GTGGGCCGTGGGCCGTCAGGGCAGCCCTGAAGGGGCCCCCTCCCCACTCCGCTCGAGTAGAAGTGTGAGAGAGCCCAGCAGGACTCAGAGGGGAGAGTTGGAGGAAAAAAAAGGCAGAAAAGGGAAAGAAAGAGGAAGAGAGAGAGAGAGTGAGAGGAGCCGCTGAGCCCACCCCGATGGCCGCGGACGAAGTTGCCGGAGGGGCGCGCAAAGCCACGAAAAGCAAACTTTTTGAGTTTCTGGTCCATGGGGTGGTGAGTGGGGGAAAGTTAGCGGGGGAGGGTGAAGAGCTGGCTCGGGCTGAATGGAGGGATGATCGGGAGGGACCGGGAGGGGGGTCCCGCTCTCCCACCCCTCTAGCTGGGGGCGCCAGGGCCCGCGGCCCAGCGCCACCACCGTGCCGGCGCCCTGGCACCCGAACACGTCGTCAGGCGGCCGGCCAGGGATGGGTGTCCGGGCAGGGAAGGGAGGCGTTTGCATGGGTTCTTGTCAGGGGATGGGGGTGGGACTTGGGGACTGCCCCCCCAAGTGGGGGTCCCCTCGGTACCAGACATGTTGTCTTCCGTTCTTTTCCTTGTGGGCCCAGGTGTTACCCTTGCCCTAGGGTGGGGGTGGGGGACATGGCATCGGCTGGGCTGGGCTGTCTGTTCATCCATTGGGACAGTGTCTCTCTGATGGTGTCTCGGGAGCAAGGAGCAGGTGACCCTGGAGGCACTGTGAGTGGGAAGCTTTCTGGCTGAACAACCTCTGCATCCTGGCAGGAGGGCTCTGGGGCTTCACTGGTGGCCTCTGCCATCAGGGTCAGAGAGAGGCCTTCTCTAGGGACAGACCCCAAGTTAAGGGATCTGAGGATCCCCTTGGCAGACTCTGCCACCAGAAGCTGATGTCCTTAATGCCTCAAAGGTGTGAAGGAAGGGCTGGAGTCAGGTACACAAGGCCTAGAGACCAAAGGGGCAGGGCAGCACGTCCTGCCATGAGCAGACTTGGAAGGCATGCAGAGAGCCGAGGGAGCCCAGGACAACCTGCGGGGATGGGAGCTTCAAGCTGAGGCAACAGGGGCCAGGTTGGCAGGGATGTGGGGGGCAGTGGAATGGGAGAGGCAGGGGCTTCGGGACTTGGGATGGGTGCTGGGGTTGGAGCCGGGTATAGAGGAAGCAGTCAGGTTTACTATGGCCAAATTTGGTTGTGACCCCAAGGAAGGCATGTTCTCAGTGAGGGAGGCCAGAGTCCCTAGAATCTTGGCCCTTCGTTGGTGGCTGGCACAGCTCTCTGGGGGCTCTGGGAGCCTCCCTCTCAGGGCCTCTTGTGCAGATCAGTGAGTATCTGTTCTTGATAAGTGGGAGAGCAGCTGGTAGGGAAAAGGGGCTTCCCTGGGGCGGCCTGTCCTCCAGCCCCGGGGATCTCTGGGGTAACTTCCCAGGGGTGCCTGTGTCGGTCAGCCAAGTTTCCAGTCCTAACCTTGCTGCTTGGGGAAGTCCCTTTAAAAAGGCCCATCTAGGAGGGAGAGCGGCTATGCACATGGATTTTTTTATTTGGCCAACTTAGAGCTTCAGTTCTTGGGTGGCTGTGAGCCCCACTGCCCCACTCCCCGTGCCCCATATGTGCTCATAGGGAGTGGCAGTGCCTGGGCTCCATTCTGGAGTGTGAGTGACAAGGTCAGGTGGGGTGGGGGAGGCCAACACGTGGGCAGGCAGGTTTCACTGTGGGAGAGATGGGCAGAGACAGCTGGCTGGCGGGGGGCGTGGGGGGGGGATTGGTTAGGGTTAGACATAGTGCAGGGCAGGAGGGACAGGAGGGAGAGTTGGCAGTTAGAAGGGATTCACCAAGCTCAGGCTCCTCCTTGTGCCTGGGGGCAGCTGCACTTCTGGGGGTGCAGTGGGTGGTGTTTAAATGATAACAGGGTTACAGGGTCTGCATCCTTTGCTCCCTAATCTCCTTCCTGCTCTCCTGTCCCAGTCCCCATCTCACCCACCCTCCACTTTATAGCCCTCTGTCCTTCCCCAATCCCTCTTCTGGAATCTGGACAAGTAAGGTTTAAGAAGGCTATGGAACACTTCACTCAATGAACTTGCATCCCAGTGGCTAGGGACTACACCTGCTTGTCTCCCTCTCCATGGCCCCCTTTGGGCCCTGCCTGGGGTGGGGGTGGGAAGTAGAGAAAGTCTGTAGGATGGGACCATCTCTGGTGATCCAGGCAGACAGGAAGAGAGAGATGGATGTAAGAGAAAATGCTGCTGCCTTTGACCTACACAAGCCCTCTGGGCAGCCCACCCCCAGCCCAGCTGTCCCTTGCCCTCCCAATCAGAGAATCCTGGCAGGGTCTGGCCTCAGCTCACTCAGGTTGCTGCCAGCCCTGCCTCCAGCCTTTACCTTGGGAACAAATTATGGGAGTGGGCTAAGTCAGCAAAGCATCTAGGTATGGAGACTTGGAATCAGCCAAAGGGGGTGGGGGTTGGGACTAAGAGGGCAAAAGCTGGGGCCCAGGGAGAAGAGTAGGTTAAGATGGGAAGGGCGAGTGCAAGGCAGGACAGTCCAGGAAGTGGACTGGGAAGCAGGGAATGGGAAGAGGGGCGGCAGGAGTCGCAACAGGGACCTCAGCCCCTAACCTAGAGGAAGCAGCGGAGGGCAAGAACCCTTGGCCCCTCGGGAAACGACTGCTCAGTGGCTGCTTTTGCCAGGAGGAGCGGTGTGACCTTGGCTAGGTCGCTTTTCTCCTTGAGCCACAGTTGCCTCATCTGTCAAGTGGAGATGGAAGGACCCACTCAGTCTGTCTTGCAGAGGAGCATGTGAATGTGCACATTCTTTGAAAAGGTTGAAAAGGCGCCGTTAAATATTCATTTTCATGGTACCTTCCTCAAATCCGAGGCTGGCAATGCCCTGTGCAGTTGCCTGGCTTCAGTTAGCTTTCTGCAGCCAGACGCAAAGCCCCCTCCGCCAAAGCTGCGCGGTTCCGGCGCTCCTGCCCCTCCCACCCCTCGCTCACGCCGGCGGCATCAGGGTCACTGGCCGGGGGGCTTGGGGTGGGGGAGACGCGGCTCGCTGCTCCTGGAGCCGGGGCCCGTGGTCTGACCCGCGGGCGCCTGTTTCTGCTTCACTCCCGCCCCCCACCCAGCGCCCCGGGATGCCGTCTGGAGCCCGGATGCCCCACCAGGGGGCGCCCATGGGCCCCCCGGGCTCCCCGTACATGGGCAGCCCCGCCGTGCGACCTGGCCTGGCCCCCGCGGGCATGGAGCCCGCCCGCAAGCGAGCAGCGCCCCCGCCCGGCCAGAGCCAGGCCCAGAGCCAGGGCCAGCCGGTGCCCACCGCCCCCGCGAGGAGCCGCAGGTGAGTGGGGCCCAGCGCGGAGGGGGCGGGCCGAAGGACCCGCAGGGACAGGGTGGGCGAGGACCGAGATTGGAAAGGGCGAGGAAGAATGATCAGCAGGGAAGAAGTCGTCCTGGGTGGGATGGGCTCTGGGGCTGTGGGTTGAGAGGGCACTGGTCTGTTTCCTTTGTGTGCCCACCATAGGGACTGAAGGCTGCGGCCGTCGCGCCCTTCTCCTGGTCACCTGCTCCGTTCCTCTCCCCACCCCTTGTCCCCAGGTTCTGGGTGATGCTTCAGGCTTTGGCGTGGGGACAGGGCTGGTAATAGGACTGAGGGCAGAGCTTTAGGACTGTGTTTCTCAAAGTGTGGTAGTCCGGTGTGCCTTCCTCAGAATCCCCCGGCTTGCCTGTTTAAAAGCCCCACTCCAGACCTAGATCCGGATCTCTGGCCAGAGGGGTGGAGCCTGGGAATTCGCCCTGTGGGTGGGTGGTCTCTGCCCCGTCATGCTCTCAGGTGATTCTTAGGCACTCAGAGGTTGAAGAGCGGCCATAATCTGTCCTCCGGACCAGGTCTGCCCCCAAGCTAACAGGAGCCAGCCCGTTTCCTTGTCAGAGCCAGCTGGTGGCACCCCAAAACCCCCTGCTGGTGCCTGGCAAGAGGGATGCCCCTCTGGGTTTCAGTATTTAGCCAAACACACAGGCTTTCCTTTGCATACCAGATGGAGTCCTATAAAAGGTGTAATATGGACTTTACCTCATTATTAAATATTTTTTACACATCAAGGAAAATTCACCATTTATAGGAATCCCATGAAAAATTCTTTTGCAAAGTGAATTGTCCATTTATACAGTATACAAGTCCCTGATTTATCTTGTATAAATGGAGAGTTTCACATAGATAATTTGTTCAAAACAAATCAGACCCTGGGCCGGCGCCATGGTTTAGCGGTTAAGTGCGTGCGCTCTGCTGCTGGCTGCTGGGGCCCAGATCCCGGGCGCACACCGACGTGCCGCTTCTCTGGCCATGCTGAGGCCGCGCCCCACATACAGCAAGGATGTGCAGCTGTGACATACAACTATCTGCTGGGGCTTTGGGGGGAAAAATAAATAAAAAAATAAAATCTTAAAAAAAAAAACAAAAAACAAAAAACAAATCAGACCTTTAATGAAAACTGCTTGCCTAGCTTTAGGATCGATTTTTGGACAGGGAGAGGGCAGTGGTTGAGAACACCACACGGGGGCGGTATGGAGCCATCCTCTAGGCTGGGTTCTGATCTCAATTTGCCAAGGATTTTCTGGGGTGCTTTTGGGATAAGAAGCAGCTAGTGAGTTCAGAAGAGTCCAAGTCTCAGCTGCCAGCCCACATCCAGCCTGCAGTCATGTCCCACAGGAGAACGCACACACACACACACACACACACTCTCTCTGGATCCCTGTGGGTGTGTCCCTGGGCCATGTTGCCAGGTGGTCCAAGGGCATGAGCATCCCCTGCTTGACAGATGCCCTGTCAGCATCTCCTTCAAGCCCAGGGTGGCAGAGTGCAACCCTCACCAGCTTCACACCATCGCCTCCTGCTCCAGGGATGTGAGGGGGGTCAGCTCCCCTCCCTTTGAGCTCAGGCCACCTTGGACTGTGCATCCCTGCTTAGCAGAAAAGGAAAGTCCTCAGAATCCGTCCTCCCTCTCCTCTGTCCTCCCTTCCCCTCAGCTTTCCTCAAACCCTTCTGCAGCTCCCCCACCGCCAACCCCTCCTAAGTCTAAATTTCTCTGACCCTGAGGATGTGGTAGAGTGGAAGGGGGATCCCAGGCCAGAGAAAGACAGGGTCACCTCTGCTCCCCGCGAGAGGACAGAGTGCTGATGCCATACACCACCCCACGTAGCCCCTTGGGCAGGCAGATGAGCGGGCTGTGGGAACCCCAGCCAGGCGGGCGGAGATGTCGGGATAATTTAGCAGGTGGCCTCGTTACTCCCAGATCTGTCGCCATGGTAACCTGGTTTTTTCTTTAAAAAATGTACAGTGCCAAGAGAAGGAAGATGGCTGACAAAATCCTCCCTCAAAGGGTGAGTGTCTTTCACAGCAGCCCCCAGCCCACCCCCACCCTTTGCTGCTCCGCCCTCCTCTCCCCTCACCCCACCACCCCGTGCCGCCTCCTTTCCCCCCTCAGGATCAGAGCTTCAGCATCACAGTCACTTTCACTTTTTGTTTAAAAAGCTAATTAAGAAGTGAGGCTCCCCAGGCCAGAGGGAGGGGCTGGGGCAGAGGGAAAGAGCAGAGCCATAAGGGATAGGATACTGGGCCTGGGGTGCAGTGGACTGAATTCCAATGGTCTGAAGACATAAAGGCGTGGGACAAAGAGGGGATAAGAGTTAGGGGCCCAGAGGCTGGCAGGGAGAGTGAAGGAAACAGAAGCCGGCCAGAACACCTGGGCATCACAGTGTTACCCAGGCCGAGCTGGGTACGAGGGTAGCACCATTAAGACGTCAGTTGGAGTGACTGGGTGAGGTGCCGGGGTAGAGGCAAGCACCAACATCCTCGAACTGTTTCAGGGACCCCAGGGTCCTAGCCACTTTGCAGACATCCAAGGCAAGCCCAGAGGCCGTGTGACAAGGGAAAGGACAAGATAAAGAGGTGAAGCCCTAGCGCTTGCTGGGCTTCAGTGTTGTTATGGCCTCCCCTAGTGATGAAATGCATGGATCTCCTTAGAGGGAGAAGCGATTTTTATCCCTACACATGGAGGCTGCTACTGCGGGATACAGAGGCCTGGGGAGAGGTCCCATTTGCACACTCCGAGTCCCAGAACCTCCATGCTCTTTGTACCCTGGGACCTCGTGACATGCGTACATTCCACCTACAAGATTAGCTAAGCCCCTGGTTCGCTGCCTTGCTCCTCCTCTTCCAGATCCGGGAGCTGGTCCCTGAGTCCCAGGCTTACATGGACCTCCTAGCGTTTGAGAGGAAACTGGATCAAACCATCATGCGGAAGCGGGTGGACATCCAGGAGGCTCTGAAGAGGCCAATGAAGGTGGGGGCCAGGAAGAGGGCTCTAAGTCCTGTTCCCAGAGTGGAGAAGCAGAGTGCCTGGGTGGGAGCACAGTGTTCACTCTGTACTACACTTTTTTTTTTTTTTTTAAATTTTTTGTTTATTGCAGTAACATTGGTTTATAACATTGTAAAAATTTCAGGTTGTACTACACTCTTTATTTCTACAGCAAAAGCGGAAGCTGCGTCTTTATATCTCCAATACTTTTAACCCTGCGAAGCCTGATGCTGAGGATTCTGATGGCAGCATCGCCTCCTGGGAGCTGCGGGTGGAGGGGAAGCTCCTGGATGACGTACGTCCTGGCCCAGGTCTCTCCAGGTGTCCTGGGGTGGGTATGGGGCTGAGCTGAGGACAGAACTAGACATTTGCACTAAGGGTTAGGGAGTCAGCCCTGGCCAGGGGTGGGTGCCCTAGAAAGACATTCTGGGTGCAGAGGCCTGCTTCTAACCATGCTGTCCTACCCAACCAGCCCCACCCATTCCCAATTCATTCTGCCCCCATGGTCCCTGTTCTGCCCCCACGGTCCCTGTTCCTCTCCCACAGCCCAGCAAACAGAAGCGGAAGTTCTCTTCCTTCTTCAAGAGTTTGGTCATTGAGCTGGACAAAGACCTTTATGGCCCTGACAACCACCTAGTTGAGGTAAGACCCAGACCCCTTCTGCCCTTGAATTGCCACTCTTCCACAGACCACAGTCCCTGAAGAATCTACACCACAGTCGTTTCAGCTGCACAGATTTGGATCAGGGACCACCCTAGAGCCCCAGGCCCCACCAGCCCAGATGGGCCTGTGAGGTGACCCAGCTCTTCTCCCCTGGACAGTGGCACCGGACGCCCACAACCCAGGAGACAGATGGGTTCCAGGTGAAGAGGCCAGGGGACCTGAGTGTGCGCTGCACACTGCTCCTCATGCTGGATTACCAGGTCTGTGCTGGCCCCCTGCCCCAGAGACACCACACGAGGCCCCTGACCCCCCCACACCCTTTCTCTTAGATAGGGTGGGCCTAAGCCTCAGAGGTGCACACCCTGAGACCCCATTCTCCTCCCTACCCACCCCTTCTCCAGAAGCATGTTTCTGAGGAGCCCAATCACCGTGTCCCCCAGCCCCAAGCTGCCTGGCCCTGAGCTCTTTCCACTCCCTCTTTTATCTAATTTTCATGGTCAACTTTTCCCAGCCGCCCCAGTTCAAACTGGATCCCCGCCTAGCCCGGCTGCTGGGGTTGCACACACAGAGCCGCTCAGCCATCGTCCAGGCCCTGTGGCAGTATGTGAAGACCAATAGGCTGCAGGACTCACATGACAAGGAATACATCAATGGGGACAAATATTTCCAGCAGGTACCCTCTCTCCTGAACCCAGGGATGTGGGGAGCAGGCAGAATTACTGGTAAGGGAAGTGCCTCTACTATGGTAACACCACCTCTCCCTTCTAGATTCTCGGGTATTAGAAATGGCACAGGGGCTGGCCCCATGGCGTAGCGGTTAAGTGCACGCACTCCGCTGCTGGCAGCCTGGGTTCAGATCCCGGGCACGCACCGATGCACCGCTTGTCGGGCCATGCTGTGGCGGCGTCCCACATAAAGTGGAGGAAGATGGGCACAGATGTTAGCCCAGGGCCAGTCTTCCTCAGCAAAAAGAGGAGGATTGGCATGGATGTTAGCTCAGGGCTGATCTTCTTCACAAAAAAAAAAAAAAAAAAAGAAATGGCGCATAGTCATGGTCTTGGAGCCAGAGACCAGGGTCCTAGGCTAGGCCCTTCCATGGTGTGGCTCTGTGCTGCAGCCCATCCATTTCAGCCACCCCAGGTTAGAAAGCTCTGGAACCCTACAAGGCCAACAGCTTTCAGGAGTTAGGATCCCTGGGTTCTAGTCGTGGGTCCAGACTCTGAGTAAGTTACTTAGCTGTTTTTGTGCCTTGTTCCTTATCTTTGCAATGGGGTGATAACACCTGTCCCATCTAACCCACTGGGCAGTTAGGAAAATCAAACTGCTGTGAAAGTGACTTGATAAAATTCTACCAAAGTAGAGATTATTAATAATTTTTAAATACACACAGTAGATAAACCTGAGGAGTAAAAACAACAGTTGATGTTTATTTTGAGCACTCACCATGTGCCAGGCATTGTTCCAAGCACTTTATGTGTACTGATCCATTTAATTCTCACAACAGCCCTGTGAGATAGGTACTGTTATTATCCCCATCCTAGGGATGAAGAAACTGAGGCCTGCTTGCTCAAGGTTGCATAGGAAGTGGTGAAAGCAGGATCTATTCCTAGGCCAGCCCACCCAGGGCCATGCTCTCAACTCCGGCACTGCCCCACCTCCTTGTTGGCACTCCACCACCCACAGCCTCCCCACTCCCAGCCCCATGAGCACTGAGGAATTAGACTTGCTCCTGGCTTCTTGGGGCCTTTCCAGAATAGAAGAATCCAGAACTTTAGTTATGTTCTTTTCAAGCACAGAAGAGTGATCTCTCTCTCCTACTTCAGATTTTTGATTGTCCCCGGCTGAAGTTTTCTGAGATTCCCCAGCGCCTCACAGCTCTGTTGTTGCCCCCTGACCCAATTGTCATCAACCATGTCATCAGGTGAGGCCCCAGCTTGCTCCTCAGACCAGGGAATCACTGGGGTCCTGCCCTCCCTGTCCCTCCCTCTTCCTCCCATCCCCATGCCCCCTCCCTCCCCAGGGCATCTGCCCACGGGGCCCTTGGCCTCTGCGAGGGCAGCATGGACACCAAGGTCTGGACTTCCCTGGCAGCGTGGACCCGTCGGACCAGAAGAAGACAGCATGCTATGACATTGATGTGGAGGTAGAGGAGCCACTGAAGGGGCAGATGAGCAGCTTCCTCCTGTCCACAGCCAATCAGCAGGAGATCAGCGCTCTGGACAGTAAGGTGGGGCCAGAGCCCAGAGCTGGAGTGGGACAGTAACCCAGAAATGACAAAGTACAGACACAATAGACAACAGCATGGGCCTATGGAGAGATAAAGAGGACAGGTGGCCCTTCCCTTGCTACGTGGAGCTCTGCCCATCCCCCCCTTCCCTGGGACTGCAGAGGCATCAGGGACCTGAGGAATTGCCCTTCAAAGGAACAGCAGCAAATCCCCCCCTCTACTTGCCCCCCTCCTCCTTCCCCTCCCCTCCCACATCACCGCGGCCAGGTGAAAGTGTCTGTCTTTCTACCTGTAGATCCATGAGACGATTGAGTCCATAAACCAGCTCAAGATCCAGAGGGACTTCATGCTAAGCTTCTCCAGAGACCCCAAAGGCTATATCCAAGACCTGCTCCGCTCCCAGAGCCGGGACCTCAAGGTGAAGGGGACTCAGGGAGCACTGGATGGAAGAGAAGCATATGGGGAAGACAGTAAACGTGTACACAGGGGCTGGAGGAGTCCGGGCTCAGGGCTGACCCCACTGCTCCCTCCCAGGTGATGACAGATGTGGCAGGCAACCCCGAGGAGGAGCGCCGGGCTGAGTTCTACCATCAGCCCTGGTCCCAGGAAGCCGTCAGCCGCTACTTCTACTGCAAGGTGTGGAGGGGCCCATGCACCTCAGGCCTCCCCCCTCACTCCAAGAGAAACCTCCCTTCTCAGCCTGGTCAGCAGCCCTTGCCACTCCACCATCCCCTGCACCATGTGTAGCCCTCCCTGCTCCCAGCCGCTCTTCCAGGCCGGCCGGCGGTAGGGTTGTCCTGTCACTCACCAGCAAGACCATAACCCTGCTCCTGCACTTATTTCTCTACAGATCCAGCAGCGCAGGCAGGAGCTGGAGCAGTCGCTGGTTGTGCGCAACACCTAGGAGCCCCTATGGATGAGCACCACTGTGGGCCTCTGGGCCCGCACCCTGTCCCCCAGGGCTCTGCTGTCACTCTTCTGACACCTTCTGGGTGAGGCGGGGGACTGGATTAAAAGTCATTCATCTGAGAGCAGCTGTGTGGTCACTGGCAACTGGGGAGGGAGGGAAGGGCAGGGGAAGGCAGTGGGTCCCTCTGGGAAAACTCCCACCCCCTTCCTCAGATTCTTCTCACTCCATTTTCTCTAGACCTAAAAACAGTTTGGCAGAAGACACTTTTAATAACATTTTCTTATTAAAAAAAATACAGCAACAAGCTTTCCATCTGTCCATCCATCTTGCCTTGCCTTTCCCAGGGCTGAGACAGAAAAGGGAAATATGCACCGATGCACGGCCCCGGTTGTGCTAGGTGCTGTTGGCCTGCTCCTGTTCAAACAGAGCCATGGCTAGCTGGGCGCGGCCCCCCAGCCCCTCCAGGTTGCTCAGGCGGCAGCGGTGGTAGAGTTCTTCGCTGAGCCGAGGGCTGCAGTCGCGCAGGGAGAACTTCTGCACCAGCCCTGGCTCCACGGCCCGGAAGAGGTGGAGCCCTGAGAACCGGAGGAAAACATCCATCACCTCCAGCCCCTCCAGGGCTTCCTCCTCTTCCTGGCCTGCCAGTTCACCAGCCAGCCGGGCTCGGGCCGCCAGGTAGTCAGCATTGTAGAAGCAGCCCTCCGCAGAAGCCTGTCGGTCAAACCTGCCTCCTACAGGAGCCCCCCGGGATGGGTCAGCACCAGGAGGGGACGGAGGGTCAGGGCCAGCCCCAGGGGGGCCTGGGGGAGATCTCTGTGGTGCCAGGGCAGGATTGAATTCCTGGAAATGGACTGGGAAGAAGGCCTGCCAGCCAGAGATGGCATTCATGCGGCAGCGGTTAAGGACTTCGGGTCCAGGCCTGGTCCACACGGTGGTGAGAAAGAAGAGTGTGTCCACGGGGTGCTTCTTAGAGACCACGTCCATGAGCCGCACCTGGGAAGGGGCCTCTGCTCGCACAGCGAGCCAGGCCAGTCTCGTCCCAGGGTACCGTCGCTCTAACTCAGCCGCTGCAGCCTTTACCCCAAGAAATGGGTCTGGGGCCCCTCGGCCACCTTCCCGTGGCCCATAGACCAGCAACAGGGTGAGCAACGCGTGCTCTCGTGGCTCTAGAACAGTGGCTGCAAAGGCCTCGAGGAAAGCAGGGGCCGCAGCAGCTTCGGCCACCAGGAGTGGCAGCACCAGCTGCACACGCGTGGCCTCAGTAACATAGGGCATAGGCAAGATTTCCACCCGGCTCAGCGGCCGCAGCAGGCTGACCCTGCGGGCCAGGGCCCGCCGGTGCCCACGCTGCGTCACAGCTTCCAGCAGCAGGTCTAGGGTGTACTCCATGCCCCGCGCTGGGTCAAAGCGCCGGTAGCCATTGAGCAGCCGCTGCTTCTGGAAACGCAGGCGGGGCTGATAGCGCCGATTCAGCTGCTCCAAAGCGGTCTCCACAGCGTCACCCACATCCGCCCTGCTAGCCCCTTGCAGTGGGCACTTGGGAGCCCCATCTGCACAGGAGAAGGTGTGCTGCTCTGTGAAGTAATCCCAGCCCAGCACCTCAAAACGAGAGTGTGGTGTGAAAGGGGCCGGGAGCCCAACAGGCCAGCTCAGCCCTGCCTCCCCCTCGGGGGTCAGCACGGTCAGGTTCCGGATCTGTGCCTGGGGTAGGAGGGACACACAGTTAGTGCCCATCTAGGCAGTCAGAACGTCCTGGGTTCTGAGCTGCCCTGACTCTGTCAATACTTAGTGAGGTGCCCCTTGGCTAATCATGTACTTCCCCGTGCTTTACTTTCTTTGTCTGTACAATGCAGAAGGCATATGAAGCATACCCACCCTACACAACTGCCATGAGGAGGAGGCGGCAGCGGTTAGAGCATCCTGCAACAGAGAGCTCTCCCGACCCAAAGCGCTCACACCCTCTTGGTGATGAGCCTTTGTTTTCACCTGTATCCCACCTCTGACAACCTCCACAATCCACAAGAGAATTCTTCTACCTCCTACCCTCGGGCTTTTGAAAGCCAGTGCTAGGAGGCCAGGCATTGCTGAGTTTTTGCCTCCTCAGTAGAGAGGCACTACTGGAGAGGAGCTATAACTATCCTGCCTAAGCACCCTACCGAGCCACGATCCTCTCAGTTCACCTGCAAACCCTTTTACTGCATCCAAGTCCTGCTAGGAGCTTACTGTATGATTGACCTGGACCACCAAGAGCCCCTTCTCCCAGAATTGTTTTAAATTTAGGTACAGTCAGCCTCTTTCTAAGCCGCCCAGCTTCCCCTCACTCAGCTGCCCCTCACTGTGAGCCTGGACACCCGACGCTCCCTCTACCTCCCGCCGTGGTCCCCTGGCTCACCTGCAGTTGCTCTATTTCACTGTACGCCCTCTCCAGCTCCAGAGCACTGAAGCGTTTGTGGAGCCGGTACATGAGGGTTCCCTCGGAGACAGGGTGCACTGCGAAGGCACTCAGGAAAGCCGAGCTCACCTCCTTCTCGGGGTCCCTATTTTTGGCCAGTTCAAATGAGCGATACTGCTGCCCCTACAGGGACCAATCAGACCAATCAATCCACATATGGAGGGCTGCCTGTCCCAACCACCCTTAGCCAAACTCAGCATTCACACCTAGTACTGCTGCTGCTGCAGGAGGGAGGAGGGAGTGGGAGCTCACTCCAGTCCCCTTAACCTTGGCCTTACTCTCACCACCGGATTGTGGAAAAAAGAATGTTAAGTAGGCATCTAAGGATGTCCTCTTCCCCCAAAGAACTCCACTGTCTCTCAAGGGAATGAGAGCCACGAGCCAGCAAACACTCCCAGTACTCTGGTTTGAGAGGATGAGCCCCTTCTGGGATCGTCCCCTCTTCCCCAACAAACAGGGTGGCTCTCAGGGCTAGAAAAGTGATTACCTTACTCCTCAGGGAGAATGGACATCTCTAGGACATTCCCAGTTCGTTCATGACTGTGCATGTTGGGGGAGGGGGCAGGGGGCAGATGGGAGGAGGACGGGTGAGTGAGTAGGGGCACCTTTCTGTCTTGCTCAGAGGGTCCCTGAGGAGATGCCACTTTTGACAGAAGACTGCCAGAAGTGAGCAAGGGAGAGCCAGAGGGGTGGTCAGTGGCTGGGAAGGGCAGAACGATGGCCCCAACATGCTGCTAGGAAGGAGCCAGCAGCATCCAGCCTGGAGACCAATCACTCAGTCACTACTAACTTGTTGGAGACTGAGACTGACTTGAAAGGGCTGTCACCTGGTGCTGCGAGACACAGCCGACGCCCAGCGAGTCGATGAGGCAGCGGCCAAGCCACTCATCAGGACGAGCACTGAGAATATCTCCTCGGCAGCCATCCAGATGTGGCCGCAATCGAAGCAGGAGACTCCGTGACAACAGGTAGCCAAAGCCCCCGTGGCAGTACCGGGCCTGCTCGCCTGCGCCAATGAACTCCTCTGCCCGGCCCAAGTACAGGTCTTGGTTGATGCTGAGGTGGCCAGTAAGTGCTGCCAGACGGGGGGCCTGCACATACGTGTCATCCTGCATGATGAAGAACCAGTCGTAGTCGGCCCCAAAGTGTGTATGAAGATAGCGCAGGGTTTCTGACATGAGCCAGGCCGGCCGCTCGTCCCCATGAGATACCACCTGCATCCCTGCTGGAGTCCGGGCCCCTCGCTGCCCAGTGAAGTACAGTAACCGAGGGAAGTGGTGGGCCACTGTGCGGTTCACAGCCACAGCAAGAGTGGACAGCGTGGCCCGGGAAGTCAAGACAGCCACCAGCAACCGCTCACGAGAGCCCAGCTCTGTCTGGATGTACCGAGTCCTGTGGAAAGACCAGCATGCCAGGGGTCAACCCCTTAATCTTTAGGAACCCAACTTGTCCAGCATATACATTCCCCTAGGAATATGTGAGTTGTGGTTGAGAAAAGAGAAGCGAGAGACCTTCTCATCAATATTAATGAGCTACTGGACTGAGCATCCACTGAGTAGCTGACACTGGATTGATTTGGGGAGGGGTCTACTAAGGATGGATTAGATGGGTTAGATGCAATTCTTGCCCTGTTCAAGAACATCCAACACTATCTTAACACCAATGGATGAGAATTTTTCATACCTGAGAGGGGGAAAAAATAGGGAAAAATCTGTGATGAACAACAATGCAAAGAATTGCTCTAAGGAGCCTACCACTGATTACCAGAGAAGGCAGAGGCAAGGACCTAGAGTAAACTGGATTCTGGGGACCCCACATACATAGCTCTCACCTGAGCACCTTCTTATAGGGTTTGTTTGGATCCCTGTAGTAGGGGATAATCCGGGGTTTGAAGTCTTCATCAATTTGGTCAAGCTGATTTCTTGAGTCTGGATTCTGTGGCCCTCCTGGTTCCCCCACAGCCTCTACACAGGGATCTTCTCCCTCACCTTGGATCCAGGAAACCCGCAAGAGGCTCAGGCTGCATCCCAGAGACAGCCCTAGGATGAGGGGCAGTGCTGGTCGCAGCAGAGCCAACAGGGAACTCAGTCGCATGATGGTAGGCCCTGCCATGTGCGTGTCCCAGAGGGCACAGCCTCAAGGATTGATCAGTGGGTTGATGGGCACCAGGCCAGTAGTAGGCCTGCAGCTTTAACAGGGAACCTGGGGTTAATGAGCTCAATAACAGGGCAAGGTGTGTTTGCTTCCAGGCCCAGCATCCCCAGAAGGCATCTACCCCGTCTTCAGTCACCAAGGAGTCGGATCTAACCCTTAGGCCAAACGGTAATAAATATTAGAACCCATTTCACCCACTAATGGGATTATGGTCTGTCTGCCAGTAGAAAGGGGAGGAAACAAAACTCAATCTTGCCAAACCTAACCCCAAAAGAAGGTTTACACACATCTGTAGACTGGATCTGAGTCAAGAGACAGCAAGAACTGATAAAGAAGAGGCTGGGGCAAAGCACATGCTCCACCCAAACGACAGCCCCGACTGGAGGAGCCTGCCTCAGTAGGCCTTTCCCAAAGAGTGCCTGGCTCGGGCACGTTTCTGTGCCTCGGGGCCTCTATTTCAATTTACTGAAGGGGCTGCTGACTAGCTGCTGAAGGCAGGCACAAGGGAAGAGGTCAGGGCCTCTTTCTACTCTACCCCTGGGGTGTTAAGGAAACACACAGCTAGAGTAACCCCTCCTCCTAGTCAGGAGTGGTCAGGAGCCACTGGCATGGCGCACAGAAGTTCTGCCCACCCAAATGAGGTGGACAGATATGGTGAGTCAGCACCGAGAGCCTCTCAGAGGAGCACAATGGCTGATGGAGCCACTTCGCAGGGCATTTTTCTTTGAATCCCAGCTGCTGAGAGGCTGGCGCTGCCCACCTTCCTCTGAGAAGAGACAGGAGGCAAATGACAGTAATTCGGACAGTGTAAGAGCGATTCGGCGTCTGATTTTACCAGGGACCAAGGTACCCAAACCAAACCAAACCGAGAGGGCGAGTAGCTAGAGACAACGCAGGGATCCCGGGAAGGCAAACGGAGGCTCGGCTGGTGTGACCGTTGCCAGGCCCGGCGCCCCTGCTCTACCTCTCGGCGATCAAAGATCAATTCTAGTCCTAGAAAGAAGGCCCAAAGAGAGTTTTAGCCGTTAGTCTCAAAACAGAAATAAAACCGGCTGCGTCACGGAGCTGTCGAGGAGGGTCAGGGGCCTCAGCTCGGTTTGTTCGGCTCGGGGAGCGGAGGTCGCGGCTGGGAGAGGAGGGCAAAGACCCCGTTCTCTGGCCCGTCCGCAGGGGCAAAAGCCCCGCTGGCGCCAGCGGGCGAAGACCCGAGGCCCACGGGGGTGGCCTCTGCAGAAGGGACAGGGGCGGCGGCGGCCAGATAACGGGCGGCTGGGTGCGGGAGACGCGGCCAGCGCGGTCCCGGGAAGCGGGGGCGAGGGCGTGGGGGTGGGACCTGCTCCTGTCCCCTGGAGCGGCGCCCCTGTCACCCTTGCAGGGGGAAGTTGGGGGGAAGGGAAACAGACCCCAGTGACCGGCCGAGGCGCCGGCTCCGCCGCTGCAGCCACTGCCACCTCACAGCCCAGCCCGCTCCTTCCTCTTCCGCTCGCTGTCAGTCCCCGTCTCTATGGTGACCGCATCCGGCCGCTCGCTCTGCCACCGCCCTCTCTATGGTCGCCCCGCCCCTTCTCTGCAGGGCTGACCGGCTGCGAGGTGACAAGTTCGGCCGGGCCACCCCCCTGGCCCCCAAGAACACAAGCGCATTCCACAGACGCTAATCCGAGTGGACCCACACTGGACCCAAAGGTGCCCCAAATCTGCAACCTGAACTCCATCTGCTTTGGGAAAAAATACCCTCCCCCTCAATGAATGTGCTTGTGCCTCCTAGATGACTTCTCCCAGTGGGCCTCGGAACCGTGTCCTCCATTCACTTGTTTCAGAAGTGTTTGTTGTTTGCCTACTCAGTTCTAGGCCATCGTAATGACTACTGAGTAAGCAAGCGGTAGACGAGATGGGAGCTGCGAGTTGAGGGTGATAGGCATTAAACACACACTTGTAACCCCAGGACCAGAACAGAATTTGTCACCCCAAAATATGCCTCTTTGGCATAAGCATTATTCTAGGCTGATTATTTTTAAGAAACAGCAGACACAGGGAAAAGCTCTGAAAACCTAGTAGAACTTACCCACTTATAAGGGAAATTTACATTTATAAGAGAAATCTCCATTTGCAAGAATGCCTTCCTCTCTGAGCAAGGAACGAGAGCACGACTAAATCTCTAGAAACTCTTATCAATAGAGAAGGGAATGACAAATCTACACAACAACTTTACCCTTGTTTACTGTGTTGACCTCATCTTAACAACAGAATGTTAAGGCTATTTTTTCAGGGGCAGTGAGCCAGCCAGGAGTATGGGCAGAAGAGAAAATTTTGATCTGCCAATCAAAACCCATCCTGCCAGCGCTTCGACATACCAGCCTGCCCTCCCTGATCCCTTAAACCTTACCCTATACCCTGGATTGGGGAGACAGATTTGAGAGCCCTTCTGTTTGCTTGCCAATCAACTGCGTAATAAACTCTGTTCCCTCAAAGACTGGCACACGCGTGGAGACAGCCCTCGCTTGGTATCACACTGACATAACAAAAATATAAACTTAGGTAGAAATCACAAACGGGGCCGGCCCCGTGGCTTAGCAGTTAAGTGCGCGCGCTCCGCTGCCGGTGGCCCGGGTTCGGATCCCAGGCGCACACCGACGCACCACTTCTCCTGCCATGCTGAGGCCGCGTCCCACGTACAGCAGCTAGAAGGATGTGCAACTACGACATACAACTATCTACGGGGGCTTTGGGGGGCAAAAAAAAAAGGACGAGGATTGGCAACAGATGTTAGCTCAGAGCTGGTCTTCCTCAGCAAAAAAAGAGGAGGATTAGCACGGATGTTAGCTTAGGGCTGATCTTCCCCAGAAGAAATCACAAACAGTGGTAAGTACCATTGTAGAAAAGTAGAGTCCAGTGGGAAAACATGACAGGAAGAATTAAATTAGATTGGGAATTTGAGAATGCTGAGATCCAAAGTTTCAGTAAGTTATCCAAACAAAAAGTGGAGAGTTTTCCAGGCAAAGAGCAGAGCACAGAAGGCCTGGAAGGAGGAAAGAGACTGGCCTAGAGAAGAACTAGGAAGGTGGGGTGGCTAAAGACCAGCGAGTGAGGAGAAAACAGCCCAAGGGGAGGCTGAAGGGCAGGCAGAGCCTTCTAACACCACAGCCCACAGCAGGTTCCCAACCAGCATGGCACTTCTTGAGGGCGCAATTTGGAAGTGTACGGGGCAATTTTGTTGTCAAATGGTTGAGGGAAGGAGCCAAGATGCTAGATGTCTTGCACATTGCAAGACAGTATCACAGAAGAAAAAACTGTCTGGGGGACAACCCGGTGGCGCAAGCGGTTAAATGCGCGCGCTCCGCTGCGGCGGCCCAGGGTTCACTGGTTCGGATCCCGGGCGCGCACCGACGCACTGCTTGGCAAGTCATGCTGTGGCGGCGTCCCATATAACGTGGAGGAAGATGGGCACGGATGTTAGCCCAGGGCCAGTCTTCCTCAGCAAAAAAGAGGAGGTTTGGCAGATGTTAGCCCAGGGCTGATCTCCTCACACACAAAAAAAGAAAGAACTGTCTGTCCCACATGGCTTTCAAATGTCCTACTGAACATTCACGTACGTGAAAAAATGGTTATAATCATCTGATCCTTGAGCCTATTCTGTGTTTTATATACAAAAACGAAGTAATCTTGCAGGGTTGTAATATATGCTGAATTTGCAAGGAATGTAACTATCATGTAAATGGAAGGAAGACTGTACTTTGTTTCGTTCAAGAATTTACTAAGAATTACCATTTTGAAGAACTATATGACAGACAGCAATGTCACTCATGGTGTTCTGCCTGCATTTGTATTGTCACATTCAAGGTGATCCTACACAGAGGTACAAGCAGTGGACCTATTATGTTTTCTAGCATACTGAAATAACACTTCATTAGAAAGGATTTCCTTTTCTTTCCTCTGTTATTAAGACACTATAGGGGCTGGCCCAGTGGCATAGTGGTTAAGTTTGCATGCTCTGCTTTGGCGACCCAGGGTTCACAGGTTCGGATCCCAGGCGCGGACCTACGCACCACTTATCAAGCCATGCTGTGGCAGGCGTCGCACATATGAAATAGAGGAAGATGGGCATGGATGTTAGCTCAGGGCCAATCTTCTTCAGGAAAAAAGAGGAGGATTGGCAATGGAGGTTAACTTAGGGCTAATCTTCCTCACACACACACACACAAAAGACACTATAACTTTTTGAAATTTAAGTGTGTAGTTACGTTATATCATCTATGAACTTTATTTCAAAATAGTAAAGGGGGTGTCATAAAAAAAAGTTTGTTATTAAAAGGGAACATTGGTGGGGCCAGCCAGGTGGCATAATGGTTAAGTTCACGCACTCTGCTTCAGTGGCTTGGAGTTCATGGGTTTGGATCCCAGGCATGGGCCTACACACTGCTCATCAAGCTATGCTGTGGCAGCATCCCACATACAAAACAGAGGAAGATTGGCACAGGTGTTAGCTCAGCAACAATCTTCCTCAAGCAAAAAGAGGAAGATTGGCAACAGATGTTAGCTCAGGGCCAATCTTCCTCACCAGAAAAACAAAAAGGAACATTGGGGCTGACAGAGGTAAGAACCACAGTTCTAGGAAGTATATGAGATAGAATTCACCAGCACTGTTATCCTTCACTGTGTTTTGGTCTTATCCTCAGACTGCAATTTGATCACCCCTCAGCAACTGGCACAGAATAGGTGGTAAATGAAATGACTTGTTAGAAGAGACTCTGGGAGGCAGAGTAGGGACACTCACCTGGAGGTTGGAAGATAAGGTTCCAGACCAGCATTGTCAAACAGAAATATAATGTGAGCCAGAAATGTGAGCCATATATGTAACAAAATTTTCCAGTAGCCACATTTTTTAGAAAGCAAAAATAAACAGGTGAAATTAATGTTAATATTTTATTATATTATTAAATATATCCAAAATATTATCATTTCAACACATAATCAATATAAAAATTTGATATATTTTACATTCTTTTTTTTCCACACACAATCTTTGAAATCCGATGCGTATTTTACACTCACAGCATACTTGAATTCTGACTAGCCACATTTCAAGTGCTCCATGGCCACATGCGGCTAGAGACTACTACAATGAACAGCACTGTTCCAGACCCTTCTGTTACTAAATTTCTAGGTAATTCTGGATGAGACATTTCATTCCTTGTTTCTCAGTTTCTTCATATTTTAAATGAAGAGTCTAACCCAAAAGTTCTTGCTTCCAGCACCGACCTGTGATTTTTCCTATTTAGCTCGGCTTTTCTCTCTACCCACATCTCTCTCTCCTTCACATTTCCCCATTTCTTCTCCCCTCATCCCCAGGTCTGTTCCCTGCAAAACATCTAAAGCCTGGGTGGGAACCGCAGAACTTCGAAACAGCCCACAAGTTTTCTAAGCCACTCTTGTGCTGAGGGAAACTCTGCCCAGCAACTGTTGATTCACCGGGAACTGTTGATTCCTGGAGGTGATTGGTTGCTATGCAGGTGGATTCAGAGAAGTAACTGGTTAGTCTTTCTTTCACCATGCAGGGCCATTTTACAGAGCTGGAGTTCTGAAACCAGAAGATTCCAGCCTCAAATCCTGGCACTCTCTCCTACCAGCAGTGTTGTTTTATTAACAACTCTGTGCCTTCATTTTCAACCTGTAAAATAGTACTAATGCCCACCTCAGAGTTTCTTGGGGGATTAAATGGGATGGCATAAATGAAAGAGCATAATAAATGTTAGTTCTCTGTAACGTGTAACCTGCCTGTAACTGTGCCTTTTAATGAGAGTGGGAGAGGGATGCATATTATAGACAGTGCTCTCAGGAAGCCAACTGCTTGGATGAGTGATTTTATGTGACACACAACCATATATAACTTCTTTGCTTCATAAAGAAAGGCTTTGCAGTCACTTAACTATTGTCTATGTATATTCTTTACCTAAAACAATGCTTTTGCCCATAGTAATGCTTAATATTTGTCAGATGTATTAAATTAAATATCTAGTGTATACTTACACAAGGATTCTACTAGTAGCAGAGAAGGCAAGAAGGAAGCCTAGCAGAACTCTGGCTAAGTAATAATCAGCCAATTAACAAGAACTAAACTCTAATCTTTCTAACAATCATATGAGGTAAGTACTATCATCATTCTCGTTTTACAGAGAAGAGTATGTATTTTGCTGAGGTCACACACTGTAAATGGTAGAGCTGGGGTTTGAATGCAGGCACTCTGCCCCCAGAATTCATGCTCTTAGTTATGCTATGCCAAGTGAGGTCCCCGCCTAGGTACTCCAGCAGTACACAGAAGTCACTTCTTTCATGGCACTTATCACCTGCATGTCATGGTCTGTTTACTTTTTAAATGTTTCTTCTTAATTGTGAGTTTCCTGAGGTCAGAGAATGACTTGTCACCATTGCAACTCCATCAACTAGCTCTGAGCCTAACATATAGTGGGCACTTACTTGGTGGGAGGATATTCTAGAAAAAGTTATGCTCAAAGGTATGAAGGTGTGAAATAGCGTCGCTTACTTGAAATGCAAGTAG